ATCGTCACCAATTCTTTCTGRGTAAGTAGACATGATGTCAATACCCTCATCTAAAACCACTTATCAGCCCTGCTTTTAATCTTGGTTTATCTGAAAAACATCAGAATACAACTAGACATGGTTTTTGAGACAGTAAATATAGATTTATGCCTCTGTTTTGAAATTTTAATGCTTGTTAGGGGTAACTGGCAAAAAAAWACCAAAATGTCAACATTTGGACTATATTAAATGAAGTTTTTTTTTTTGTTCAAATTAAAGATATTTATGAGTTTTTGCTCTAGTGTACTTTAGAGGAAAATCTTCCACATTGAAAAATATTAACACAAATTTTGATCCCTTATTGATTATATTCTAAAATAATGCATTCCTTTCAGTAAAGGTTTTTTTTTCATCTTACCTCTATCTCTATACTTTTTATATTTGTTCACTTGGTAAAGCAGTTCTTTTTTACCGGCTGAACGTTGCTACGTTTCTTATCCTGTCCAATAAAGGATTTTTATTTCAGCTGTAAAGATTGACAACACAATTTTATGTTGCARAAGTAAARATTTAGTACAAATAAAGCAGTTCTACATGCATAAACTCTGTAAGCTTCAACCAACCTTTCATTGTGCTCTGTACAATGACAATAAAGGCTATTCAAAGCAGGGTGTCACTCATAGATGAACCAGCTTCAGAGGCTTGGTAGTAAATCATGGTGGTAGAAGCAGAAATGTGCGTTATACACAAGTAGAYTTTTAGAAAAAATGAAACAATAATTTTAAAACAAGGATTTAAAGAAAAAACAGTCGTAGGACAAAAGAACTGCATGTTTAATCAAAAACGTGGCATTTTTTGCTATCTTTTTTTATTAACTAGAAGGCCTTAAAGAGTGAAATTTAAATTTGATATATTTATTTAAAGCTGCGATAGTTCTAAAAGACTGACTAGTTTGCTGCCAAGAAAGAGTTAAACAAGACTTTTTTTAAGCAGCTGTGTACGGTAATGGATTTTTTAATTTTTYCCCCCTGATATTTGTTTTCCTTTATTATTTGTGACTCGTGTAATAAAAAGATYTGGCCCAGCTTCTTGTGGAGCATTTAACTCTATTAATACTAGAAGAAAATAATGAGATGTTGCTTCTTTTAGTTCTCTGTGGGAGACAATTGCTTTGCATTAATAAAAAGCTTGTCACYGAAATCTCTGTGGAGAGCTAGACGTCTCTTCTCTCCTCGTCTCTTAATTATAAACAGAGAAGCTTTTCTTTGTTTAGCTTTGTTTAACTGAACCGAAGCTCAYATATTCAACAACTGCTCATTTTGTGTGTCTGTTAGCAAAATATCTCATGAATCACTGCACTGATTTTAGCACAGTCTTTAGAAATTAATCGCTAAGATGTCTGCAGCTGATAAATGTTTGGATTCATTACAATTCAAGTTGACCACCACAGCTAAACAATCTTGGTAAACATAAAAATGACTCCTATTTGGTTCATTTTACARCTGCTGTCCTGAAATTTGACATGGTAGTAGCCGAGGGTCATCCTCAACACATCCTCTGAGCCCTAACTGATAGCACAAGATCTTTGCTCAAAACTTCAGAGAACTTATAGACATATTTTTCTGAAACTTTCAGTAGTTACAGTTCAAATGTATGTTAACAACTGATTAACTGTTGGAGTCAGCCRAATTCAAAATGGCCGCCACAGCCAAGCAAACCTATAAAACAAGAACAGATATGCTTCTGTCAGTGCTGCAGATAATGAGCTAAAATTTAGCTTGGTTGTAGATGAAAGTTCAGAACATACACTAATACCATTGCTTTTAAWGTTTGACCAAAACGGCTGCAATTACATCAAAAAGATCTCAGTCATGCCTCTGGCATGAAAGATGGCAGGAGATAGGCATTCCTTTAGAGTAGAGGTTCTCAAACTGGGGTCCGTGAGCTGTATCTTGGGGGTCCTCAAAAAATTTCAGTAAATTAATTTGATTTTTATTTTAAAGGGGCAATATCTAGCCTGGTAAAAACCAGACCCCTGTCCTTCACTTTGCTTCATAGAGTCTGGACTCGCTGCTATAGAGAAGCGATTCTTGCTGGAGGCGTGGCCTCTGCTGAAGCGTGTGTGTGTGTGTGTGTGTTTTGCTGTGACGGAGGCTAAGCTAAGAAGCTAACCTGAAATCGCATGCGCTGTAATCAACAATACTGAGAGGAGGAAATTACCGAGCTGAACGAGACGACTGTAAATGAGAGCTGCTGCTTTGTCAGACAAATTTATTTTAATTTGGAAGCCTTATCAACACAGACTGGCTTCATTCTCTTCCTCCACTGCRGTATGCTAAAATAACTAGCAGACACTGTGCAGAAAATCAACGTCGTTCAAAACTCCTCCTTCTGTTCTCTGATTGGCCCAGGTAAAATAAACTACAAGCAGACACTGCAGAAAATCGACGTTCTGTTCTCTGATTGGCCCGGCTAAAAATCTGCCAGTGAAATCCTTGTCTATGGGAGAAGTCCCAGATGGAGCAGTGAAGGGAAACTAGAATTGAGCAGAGCTGCGTAGGAAGACAAGGGCCAGGCCAGGCAACATCATGTAAAAACAACTTTTTTGAGTTTTATATCACATTATAATGTTATACTCTCATAAAAAAAACATGCCCAAAGCCTTGCTCTGACSCATTCATGCAAAAACAGCATTTTAATAACAGCTAGAGGTGACATAGATACTTCATTATGGTATAGTATTTAAATATATGCCTGAGAAATGCATAATATTGGTCCTTTAAAAAATTGCATATGGGAAACAATGCACTAGTAAAACAAATATACTTAACCAAACAAAAGATAACATTCCTATAGCAATTAGGAGTTAAAACAGCTTGAGTTTTATAAGGGCTCCCTGGAAATATTTTACTTTTGTAAGGGGTCTCCAGACCCAAAACATTTAAGAACCACTACTTTACCCTGGATTTATACTGCATGCGTCTCCGCTGCGCTGCGCTCCGCTCCGTTGCGCAGGTCGCAGCTGTGCHTTTCAAGTCCAGTTTACACCACCTCCGCTCTGGTCTGGTCCGACAGAGGAGATCGTGCGATAAATTCAGTGATAAATGTGGAAGTCACAGCAAAAAATAATTAATTCTGTCAAAGACGAACTCCAAACACAGCTGAAAACATTGATATAAAGGCTTTTGGTATCTATGTTGAAACTTTCTCGCTGTCGGCTTTCTGAAACTTTGGTTTCAAAATAAAATCCACGTGTATCATGTGTACACACATGCTATGTTTCCATCTGCTTCCCAAACAGAACAATACATTCTGACAGCATTTGTGTAGAAATATATCCGTGTATTTATTAATATAGCTGCAATTTCGACATTATTCCGACAAATTATTCCGCCGAATAGTGTCTTATTTTGAAGATACGGATGTTGTGCTCGTGTCTTTTCCTGTTGGTGCAACGTGATCTTTAAAAATTGACTCCGGCGCAGCTCCGTCATCCGGCAAAAATAGGATCTGTTCTCATTTTGACGGATTGCCATCCGCAGCCAGTGTAAACACTCTCATTGATTATAATTGGTGTATATTTGCTGCGGAGGTCGGAGTGGAGCGGAGCAGAGACGGAACGTAAGTAGTGTAAATTGGGGGTTAGAGAGCTTGAACATGACAGCAGGTGACGCTCTGATCTGGACACGGGTCATGCCCGGTCCAAAGACATGCATGCTGACATGAATATTTACAACCTGGTGTCAAAGGCCAAACGGACCGAGGGTGGGGTTTCAGCGCTTAACCTCCATCAAAGAGACCGCCAGTGGAAACGACACCAAGTGAACGTTCAGCGTGAGCCTCGATGGTCTGCTGYTGTCATACGTGGAAAACAGCTGTTCATTAGTTCATGGCCTATATCTGTATCAAAGAAATCCATAAAGACTAGTTATTACATTTTAGTCAAACTATGTAAATTAGGAGGTCAGAGCTCAGAGTTTGTTGATGACAGCGCTCTACTACCACCACATTAAACTAGTTCAACATGTGTAATGGTTGATCAGCTGTGATGGRCATCTTTAATTGGATTGGCTTCAAAGGTTAATGAGTTCTAGATGTGCATCAGATCATTACTTCCATAGAGTTTTATCAAAATCCATTCAGTGGTTCACYAGATATTTTACTAACACAGAGACAGATTAACAGACATGGGCAATGAGGCCAGTGAGGCTTTCCCTCAATGCTTTACTCCATTCCTCCTCCTCCTCCCCAAATAATCAGTCTGTAAATATTAGTTGAAGTTGTCAGACCATGAACATCTTTAGAAATTAGCGTTAGCTTTTCTGTGTCATTTTCCATACTAAGTTAGCATCTATACTAATGGTTGGTCAGCAGATTGRGATTAAGAAAACTTTTTATAATTACATTGCAGACATCTGAATTGTTATTCAATCAATTTGAGTTTGCCAAACATCTGAGGAGTGGACTTTTCAGCTCCTTCAAAAGTTCGAAAGTTAGACCTTACAAATCTAAAAAAAGAATTATACAAACCTCAAGACCTTCATCTCAGACTCACGTGGTCTCAGTCAGCCCATTGAAGGGTCAAGTTTAAGACAGACAATAAGAAAAAAACTGGACAAATGAGTGTTCTCAGACCAGTTTTAAGGACTCAATTCATTAACATTRACTAATGACAGTGGATGTTCTGACCTTCATATTCTCCCCATGTTGATGGTCTTGATGCTGTCTTGATGATAACCAGCAAACAGTTATTTATGTTGGACCAGAAGACTTTGTGTTCTTCAGGGGTTCTTTGTCTAAAAAACAGAGAACTTGAGATCATTGGTCGTCATCCTCCAACAATGAAAACACATATTATAGATTGTCTTTTGGACAGATGAGACCAAAGGAGAGATGATTGAACTATTTTCGTCACGGTGTTATTAATGATCTGATAAAAGGACCATCACTGGCCTCAAACAASTGTTCTTTATCAAAGWTAACCTGTCGACCAGGTTCATGGCTGTTCTGGTTTCTTCCAGGATGACAACTGGGGCGAGACCACCACGGCCATCACCGGCACGTCGGAGCACAGCCTCTCTCAGGAGGACATCGTGCGCATCACCAAGGACCTGGAGGACAGCGTGGGGCTCGACTGCCGCCGATACTTCGCACGGACTGTGGCCGTGATCCTGGGCCTGCTAGTGTTCCTCACGCCGTTGGCCTTCCTGGCGCTGCCACGCATCCTGTGGCCGGAGAAGCTGAAGAACTGCGGGACGGCCTGCGAGGGTCTCTTCATCTCCGTGGCCTTCAAGCTGCTCATCCTGCTGCTCGCCGTTTGGGCGCTCTTCTTCAGGCCGCCGCGGGCCGGACTCCCGCGCGTCTTTGTGTTCCAGGTCCTCCTGGCRGTGCTGGTGTTCCTCCTCGTCGTCTCCTACTGGCTCTTCTACAGCGTCCGGATCCTCGACTCTCAGGTGTGTAAGACAAAATTAAAAAACGATGCTGTGATCGATTCTTCTGTTAGTGGAACCAAAGATAAACACAAACTGAATTTCAGGAGCATGAGTGAGAGACATTACAGATGCATTTTTTATGACTTCACGAGCTTCAATAAATCAAAAGCACAGATTGGTTTCTCCAGGGTGAGTTTTAATCTGAAATTCCTGTTTGTTCAGGAAAAAAAACAGAGAATCTAACAATTCTTTGAAATCTGCTTTACTATGTAAATACTCTACATTTAGTCTTACATGTGTTTAACCTCCTGATTTATTTATTTATTTATTTATTTATTTATTTATTTATGCTTTTAAAGACATCTTTATAAATTAGCTGTGCTCTCCAAGCAAAAGGACCAATATTGTTGCTGTGATTTTTATCTCTGGCACTCACCACCAGATATAAACTACTGTATGTGGTTATTTTTCTTTTGCTGCCCACAAACTATTCGCCAATAGATACTGACCATGAAGCTTTTAGAAGGACCTACATGTTGGTTTGAAGCAACATGTCTCATGTCACCAACAAGAGCAGTGGAGGACTCCATAGTTGGAGTGATGTGTRGCTGGTTTTACATATTAAACTCCTGGGGTCATCGTGTCTCAACAGTCAAAATACCAAATGATGAAACTGAACCATGTTTAACCTCATAACACAACGTTTCCACAAGTTATGACATAAACCTCCACGTCTTTTTGGATAAAACTGTACCAAAGCCAAGTGTCAGGTACAAACACCTACACCACATGCTCAGGTTCYTGTGCCGTCAGCTGAGCCCTTTGACTGAGCCCTAAGGCGCTCTTCATTCTCACTGTGAGGAAAACTGTTGGATCATAACATTAAATCAGAACAAGTCATCTGTGATGATTCCTCAAGTAGACATGGTGTAGACAGTGGCACGGGGTAAGTGTCTGTACAGCTGTAACTGTGGAGTCACTTTATCCCTGACAAATATGTGAGCAAACGGCAGACATCGGAGTGTTGTCTCCAGAGYGTAGAAACCCAGGAGCTTGGCACCGTGTGTCTCATGAACTATGAAATATGTGTGCAAACATGAACACCTGCCAGCCACGTGACCTTGTGCTGACTGTTGGGCTTCGGATCGAGAATATTGGTTACTTTAGAGTCCCAGGGTCATTATTTAGGATCTCTGCGCTGAACTACAGAAGGAAYTTAGACAGAGCCATGCTCTGGTTCAAGTCCTCACCACGTTGAGGCTCGTTGGATCAAACTGCTGACAGGTCGGGTATTTCAGRCGTCCCCGAGTCGTGCCATGCCAGTCGTATGGGACGACCTTGTCTGTATAAAGACCAGATATACTGAATTCTCCTACATTGCAGCTTAAACACTGTCGATGTGCAGCGACTTGTTTCTTGACATCAACTGTTTCATAAATATTCTTTAAGTTTCACCAAACCCCTGAGTTCCTATGTGTTTACAGTAAACATCCTATTAAACACGTTAAGTACAGGAAGTAAAATTTTACAGGGATCCGTGATTAATTGTAACATTAGACTTTATTAAATAAACATAAACTTTAACTGTAAAATAAAGACTGTAAAAATACTGTAGGATGTTCAGTTTTTATCATTTTTAAATTAAAAGTTTAAAAATTTATTACACAGATGGGGCCATTTTATTTACACGCAAAGCATTCTGGGTAAATGATGATGTGGATAGGTCCTCGGTGTGAGTGAGCTATATCCA